TTCAGCAGGGCTGTAGAAGTGAGCTGGGGATTTGGAAGGCAAAGATTTGCTCATGATGTTACTTGTGTGTATAGTTCAGGCTGTGGTAAGGGTGGCTTTTGTCACCATAGTTTGTGGCAGAGATGCAGGAGCACAGATAAGCAGAAAAAAAATTCCAAAACAATGTGTATGGGGTTTATTTTCCATTTCTCCCTGAGGAAATGTTATTTTTTTGGCAAAAGGAGATTCTTTTACACACTCTTGAAGAAGCATTTCTCCTGCTTGCAGCAGAAACTTGCAGGATTTTGGAAAAAATGTTTTGGTGAAATATTTTCCCGGAGGAAACATGTTTTTCCTGATAGTCTGTAGCAAGGGGAATTGATGCAAACCACAACTTTTGGAAGGGGACTGACAAGAGGAGGAAAGGTGGACTTCACCCACTTTCCTACCCTATGAATGTGGCTGGCTTTTGAGGAAATGACCCAATGAGGGTGGAAAGGGCAGAGCATTGTGGTCACTTCTCTCAGGCAGTGGTTATAGTTATTAACTATAATACTTAACTGTGTAATTGCAACTTCTTTCTTCTGTGCTGTTAATTTCTAGGCAGTCTGGAAGCTAGTTTAGGTTGTCACATGGGTTTCTCACATTGTTTCTTTCCTACTTTTCTCTCTTTGCATCCTCTGGGCCAGCAGGTGTCTTTAAAGTGTGGAGGAAATGATGCTTGTTGTGGTCCCATGGTTTTGCTCTGAACCAGCTCCTTACAGTAGTTCAGGAAAGTACTTCAGTCTTGCTGCGCTTTGGTTTCTTTCCTGTGAGATGGACATAGGACTCTTTCCTTGCCACATGAGAAAAGGTGGTTTGTGCCTTCCTAATAGATCAGTAGAGACTTGGAGCATCCATCTGAAGGAATGTGGGACCTTCTTTTCCTTGACTTGCTTCCCAAATGCTGCGACAAGGCCCTGGCCAAACAGTAATAGTGGGAACAGATAAACTGGATCTTCCATTTTACAAGTTCTTGCCTACGGTAGCATCTCCTTCTTTCTTTCTTGTCTCTGTTTTCCCCCATTCCATGGGAGGTCTTCAAGGCAATGTTTGTCCCTTCCTCCATGGCTACATCATTGCCAGTAAATTCAATAGAGCCTGGATGCAACAGCTGGGTCATCTACACAGTCTTTGTGCAGGTTTTGTCCTGGTGTCAACCAGGCACCATTCCCAATAGTCAATTTGAGTTCAGTCACCCTGTTTCAGAGGCTGAGGTAGTTACATGGTGTGGATGTGACCCCAGTGCTAGAGAACAGGCTCTGTCACGGTGCAGTTTACTCACAGATGTAGTCTGAGCCCTGGCCATGTTGCAGATTTGGCCATTTCAGCCACTTCCAACAACAGGATCTCACAACGCAAACAGAGTCAAGCTGGAGTGCTGGTCTTCAGCTGGTGTGCTATCTAGTGTGCTAAGTGGGGCAACATGATGTTCATCTTCCCGTAGCTCTCTCCATCAGCCATCAGGTAGGGGTGCTGTGTTAGCATTATAGCAGCTTGCTTTGACTTCCCTCCCTGCCCCATGCCTGGGCTCACCTCCACATGTCCCTGCTGAGCTGATGCCAAGTAGGAAGGCTGCTTTCCATGCAGATTTGCAGTTTTCAGAATTTTTAGGGAACATTCAGGTCGGGAAACATCAAAGAAACTTGTTTCTAAGCATTTCCCTTTACAAGTACCTTGTTCTGCTTGTATATTGGTTTCCCCACTGCCTTTGTGGTGCCTTTGAAATGATGAGGCCTGGACTAGTCACAACATGCTGCTCTTCCATTTATCCCCTTCCCACTCTCCCTTTTGTTTGCTGGGATATTTGAGTAGCTGGGGTGTCTGTGCATTGCACCCAGGAAGGGTAGGAAGCAACACACATATCGTGCACGAGCCCAGCAGACACTTGTGCATTGTATCTGAAGATCTGGGAAGGAGTGAGGCCCTCTGTCCACACATGATCCTAGTCTTTGTGTCATCTCTAGGTGCCTTGCATGGATGGGATCAGACCTTTCCCCACACTTGCTCAGGATGATTGCCTCCTATTTCTGCTAACCATGAGCTGCAAACATAGGATGAAATAATTCCTTGCAATTCTCTGGAGTGTGGGTGGGTCTAGGTTGCACAGGGCTTGGACAGAGGTGGTGTAGTCCTGACATTCAAGGAGGAATAACCAGGCTAGACCTGATCTTTAGTGCCCTGTCTCTGCTGTCTAGAAGTAGACTTAGCTGGAGGTGTGTGATATTCTGCATTAGCAGATGTGGCACGTTCCACTCCATGAAAATCCCATGTTAGTCCCAAATGGTCAGGTGTCAGCTTCTGCTCTGAAACGTGAGTCTTACCTTTGCCTTTTCTGATATTTAGTATTCTGTCTTAAAATATGCTCTTATTCCTTCAAACACCTCATCCTCTGAATTATCCCACGTGATCAGCTCCTACCTGAACACCTTGTGCTTTAGACTGCCTGAATGGCCATGGTGACACCATCTGATCAGTCTTAAACACAGCTTCTTCCTCTCAAGATAAGAGGAAAAGACAAAGCCCTGCATCTTCAAATGTGCCATGAAACTGAGATCACTAATGTAAAGCACCCTGTGGCCCTCCACGAGATGTCCAGAGCATGCCATGGAATTAACCCTGCCCCTCGAACCCCACAGGTTCTTCCTATTTTCCTCCTCCACAAGGTATATTTTCATTCACTTTGCACATCATCAGCAACATTAGATCTTCAGGGACGAGTACTAAGTCAAGCTAAGGGCTGTAGCCTCCTTAGCTGCATGCACTGGTGGGTGGTTGTCTCATATTGGGTTGTCTTAGCCACAGCGGGACACATTCTGCACCCTGCCTAGGAGTGGCACCTATTCACAGCACATCCTAAGCAGTGTCTTGTTTTGCTCATGGTTAAAGATACTGAAGATCTGCAAACCTGGGGTCTTCACTTTCAGCCAGCATTTTGCAGGGGCCATGAAAGGCACGTTCAACATCCCAGGAAGATGGGTCCTTGTCAGGACAATGTGGGAAGCAGACTAGCAGTGAAATCATCGGCGGAGAGCTCGTCTTGCCAAAGCTGCTGGAAATAAACAAATCTTCTCCTGAAGTAATAATAATTCTGAAACCTGCAGGAACACAGTCACACAGCTGTGCCGAGAGACAAACTCCTGGCTCACAGCAAGACTGCTGCGTCTGTGCTCCCGGCAGGAGGGACCTCGCAGAGCTCAGCCACCGCATCCAGCTGAGCCCCTGTGTTTCCCATCGGGAAGGAGTTAAGAGCCTGATGGGACCTAAAGGAACAGGAGATGCCACATGTGGTGGGACTCAGTCTGCGATGCAGGCATCCAAATGTAGATATCACATGTGGCAGTTGCCGGTGGGGCTTGGTTTTGAACACCTTAGTGTCATCTCCAGGTGCTCCACCAGGAGCTGTGGTTTTGCACCGTATCTTCCAAGCCCATGCACATGTTCCCAAACATCTCAAGTAGTACCAGACACCCATGTTTAGGTGACTGAATCAGCCCTAGGTATGATGTGAAGTTGAATCCCACCCTTTACATCTTCCGTTGCTCTTTCACATACAAAACTTGCCAGCCTTTGAACAGAAAGGACATGTGAGCCCTTGTAGGATGGTTTGGGGATCCCAGAAGAGGAGGATCTGACACCCAGAACTGCCCAGGGCAAGATTTGTTTGTGTTCACACTGCTCTGAGCTGATGTCAAGTGCAAGTGTGGACCTCTGTGTGTCAGCCCAGGTCTGTGCCAAGATGCAATGCAGGACTGTAGAACAGGTGAATGTCCTTGTGCCTGAGCAACAAGAATTCCTTTCAGTCATCCTGGCTATTATCGGAGGAGATTAGGAGTCCTGCCATCTGTCTGGCTCCTCCCCCTTTTTTTTTTTTTGAACATTTTTAATTTGCTGCTGTCACTGGGAGAAGTGAAGCTTTTCAGCCCTGGTGCTTTTGCTTTTACACTGCAGCTCCCAAGGGAACAGTAACAGGCCACGGTGAATGACAAGGAAAGCTCTACCACACTCGCTCCAGCAAACTAAGCTCTGACTTGGGGTGAAATACTGTCATTAGCTCTAATGACAGGATAAGTATTAATGCTGGCAGTAGGTAGCTGATAGATTGGCCTGGAGGGTGCCCGGAGCCCCTGTCACCGCTGCATGTCACTGGTTTGAAAGTTGCAAGAGGGTTTTAAAGGGTCAGTGGGGTCTGGAAAGGAGGTCCTGCAGGAGAGCAGGCATTTTAGGTGCAACCACGCTAACAAACAGATCGGGTCTCCTCTTCTCTGCTGACTCTCAGCCCCCAAGCACCCACTTGCACACATGTTAGTCATTAAGTCCTGCGCTCCCTTCTGCAACGCTGTCTGCCGTCACTGCAGCTGGGTTCACACCGCGTTTGGCTCCTTCTTCTAGTGGGCCTTGTCTTGTAAAAATCCCACACATACCCTAAGCCTCTTGGACTTGTGCCAGATAAGCTCAACTCACTTTGGAATTAAAATAACATCATCATCATCAACAACAATAATAGATGATGATGATGATGATGATGATGATGACAATAGTTTATAAACTTATAAATCATAAACTTTAATTTTTATTGTTGTTGATACGATTATTCTTGTGGTTATTATTATTATTAGCAACTTAGGGCCACAAAGGTACCACAGAAGAGCCAGAGGAGGTCTGGGGCCAAATGCTAGGGAGTGTGAATGTGACTACTCCACTCTAGAAGGACTTGTGCTGAGCACTGCGAACACAAGTCATGCCAACACCTCTCTACACGCACTAGGGACCAAAGATCACTCCCTGGGAAAGACACCCTTAGCCGTGTAGTGACCTTTGGTCACTGACATAGACTGCAAAATTGAGCCACTCTTTTGCCCTTCCTTGGAGTTTTTTGTTATGCTGTTGAAGATGCTGCTTCTCAGAGGTTCAGCTGCAGGAGTGATAGAGCCAAAGGGTCTTCTCAGGTCTGTCTTCTGCCTGTCACTTATGGTGAAGGAGAGCTTCAGAAGTGCAACCTCTGTTGAGAAAGACCCCACTATGCTGAGGCTGTGTGCTTCCAATCTAGAGGTTCCTTGGCTCTGCATTTAAACTAGCAGGTCTTCCATGAACATTATGACACCGTATCTCATAGTCTGATCTCTGAAGAAAGGGAGTCCCCCAAAAACAATGGCTAGCACTTGGGAAAATTTTAGACTCCCAAATTTTGTTTGTAAAGATTTATAATCACTGCAACAGAGCAAATATCCACAGAAGCGGTTTCCTTTTGTTACTTTTTAAAAATGTGAATGGTTTCCAGCCGTGGTGCAGGGAAGTGCTGATGCTGCGTTGGAGAAACACCAGCCAGTGAGTGTTAAATGTTAGTAAACTTTCCCCTCGCATGCAGGATTAGGGTTTCAGAATCACTGCGGAAGGCTCCACTTCTGCTTATGATCCTAGATGACAGATACATACTTTTTAACATATATAACTCTGCCTTTTCAAACATTAAAAAAAGCAGCCTATCAACCCAGGTGACGTATTAGACTTTTCACAGCCCAGCAGGCTTGTAACAACTTACTCCGGAAATATGATCCAGACAAAAGGGAAAAAAAACCCTCCTAAGCTGTCTTGAAATTTACACTGACATAGGCTGGACGTTGCTGCTCTGTAGCAACATCTAGTGATGTTTTTGTGTGCCAGAAACCCCAACCCTTTGGTTTAGATTATAAACCCATTATAAGGAGAGAACAGCAGGTTGGAGTGGTAGATTGTTGAGTAGGTCCTTTGAGGCCAAAAGGCCCCTGAAATTAGATCTGTATCTAGACGTGGTTTAGCCATAGTCACAACTTTATGGCTGAACAAGACAATTCTCCTGAACCACCCTTCTGTACCTCCCAGCTGAACCAGTGACCTTGGCACATGGGTTATACGGGATAACAGGGACTTGGGGACCTTGGATAATGCTGAGAAGGAGCACGTATCTCTTGACCTCGTCTCTTCCACTAACTGAAATTCTGGTTGTGCTGGTGGGGTGGTTTAACTTCTTGTCAGTCCTGTGTTTGTACACACTGGTGAGACTGCAGTGACTTGTTTCGTCCAGATGAGATGGTGGGGTTGAGAGAGCTCAGATGGGAGACATGGAGCTGTGGGAAGACCATCATGACCTAAAGAGTGTCTGATTGCTCTAACTAGAGATGTGCTATTGATTGCCATGTTGCTTCCTTGGGGCTGTTGGCCATAGGCAGGCCTTAACCAAGTCTCCACAAGCCTAGTTAAGCTCTGATGAACCTTTATCCTCTCCACTTGCCTTGGAGAGAGGGAAGTTTGTAGCTTTGCAGTCTGGTGTGACTTGCCCTGAGAAGGCATCAGCAAGGGCTGGGAGAGGTGTCTGCAGCTCTAGGCAGCCGAGGAAAGAGGACGTAGCTGGTCCCTGAGTTGGGTGCTGCTTATCCTCACAGTTCCTTCTTCTGCTCATTCTCCAGGTGCCTATTCCTTGTCCGTGAGAGACAGCAACTCTGCTCATGGGGACATCATCAAACACTACAGGATCCGTTCTTTAGATGGCGGGGGGTATTACATCTCCCCCAGGATGACTTTCTCCAGCCTGCCAGAGCTAATCCATCATTACAGCCGTAAGTTGCTTGCCTTCTTTAATGGGTTTGTCTCCTAGCAGAAGGTGAGCATGTGGGCAGAGGGAGGATGGGCTTACTAGCCATCACCATCACACCATCCACTCTCATGGGCCAGGTGTACTTCTCCAAGCAGAACTTGGGCACCCATGTCCTATCTTTCATCCTAGAGCATTGTGAGAGTGAGTTCTGCCCACAGCCCTATAACCAGGGAGTTTCTCCCACCAGGAAAGAGATGAATGCTGAAGAGATATACAGGAGGGATGCTTGGAAAGCAGGGTTTGGACTTGCTGGGCAGGAGAATTTTCTCCTCTATGGCTCCTTTTGTGCTTTTTCCTTTAATTGAATCAATTCTGGGTGTCTTGATCCCTGTGGCTGAAACATTTGTGTGGTTGTGGAGGTTTCCCATGGGTTGACTTTTTCCTGGCTTGTGTAAAAGTTGGAGGAGGGTAGCTCTGGGGCTGAAAGTTCAGCCTATCCCATTGAGCTGTCCTGTGCTTTGTCCTCACGCAGAGAAGGGGGATGGCCTGTGCCAGCGGCTCACAGCTCCCTGCATATCCCTGGCTCCCCAGAGACCCTGGGCACAGGATGAATGGGAGATCCCACGGGAGTCTCTGAAGCTTGTGAAGAAACTTGGCAGTGGGCAGTTTGGGGAAGTGTGGATGGGTAAGTATAATTCCTCCCATTCCAGGAAAGAAATATTTAAACAGAGAAGACAGAAAGC